TTTGCAGTTTTACAATGTTAGCACATCTCCTCCTTCCTTTATTGCTCCAGTTCACTACATGTGGCGCCCATTTTCAAACGAGAACCACCATGTTTCTTCTGGGGAAAATAATGCTTCCATGAAGTCTTGCAATTTTGTTAGACAAGGATGCAGCACATCATCTCGGCAGTTGTGGATATGGATACATCCAGCAGCTTTTGAAGAAGGACTTGATATACTAAGAAGAGCTTGTCAGATGCAGGTACTACTGAGTGTTGACTGCAAATGTATATATCATGTCTTTATTCTGAATACTAATTTCAGGCTTCAGTATATGCTTCGCAGTTTTCTATTTGTCCTGTACTTAGTTTTGAACAGCTTGATGATATATACCCGCTCAGAAAATTGACATTGCGCATAGTTTATTAGAATCTTGTGACTGTTTCCAACCGCCCTTGTTAGAACTTCACACTTTCAGCTGCCACCTTCTTTGGGACCTTCCTCCATTGTTAGTTGCTCCTTTTCATACTCTAATCACGTGAATTTTTTTTTTGCAGAGTTGTGTAATTGGTTGGTGCTTTTTTCTTTCTTGTCAGTACGTAGATTTAGAGTTCCAGTTGTCTTTTCAATTGCCTCATAGGGGAAGAATACATCACATGTCAGCATGCACCAGTCTTGTATCATGCTGCTCTCAATACTATAAATTGATTGAAGGTGGTCTTCATATTTTATGTGTTGTCTTATTTCAGATAGATGAGAGTGCTGTTGCTGTCAGTTGTGCATCAGTGGAAGGGCATATTGCAAAATTGGAGATTATGGGATCAAAGGCAACTCAAATTCTTCAAAAGGTGCTTCTCCCTGTGTCCGAGTAAGTTACATTTCTCATAGTTGATAGAATAACAGTCTGCAAGATGTATTTATATTCTTTCCTTCGCGTATTTATGCAAAATATTCTGTGTGCAGATCTGATCAGAAATCTTTCTTCCAGCATGCAGAGCAACTTCCATCCAATTCAATTCTATCTTTTACAGTCCATGATCCCAGAGATTTTCCTTCTAAGGAAACTGCATCCAATCTTGAAACTACAATACATGAAAGTGATTTGCAGGAAAAGGATATTCAAACTTCTGAACCGATGCTTACTGGAGATTCATGTAATAGCGAGGATGATATAATTGCTCAATGGTCAAAACCCGATAAAGATGGAGTTAAACACTTGTGGGATTATGAAAAGTTGGATCCTCCTGTACCAGATAATATACTTTGCACAGATAGACACAATAAGCGCTTGGAACATTTTTATCTTGATTCAACCAATGATGAGAAATCAGCTACAGAAGTTGAGGATGGTTGTAGTCAAAGTTGCCCAATTTTAATTTTAAAGCATGCAAACAAGGGAAACCTGAATTCGGAGTAAGAAGCTGTTACATTACTATCATCCTGTTGTAGATAATATATGTTCTTATATAATATCATATATGCACACTTTGTTTTATTTCATTTTCAAGCAGAAGGAACCTGTTAATTTTCTTGATGTAGGAATAACAGGTAAATTGAGTCGAATCAAGTCTTTCCTAAAAAGTATTGATTCTTTGGTGTCTTAGCAGATGGTCGCTAGTTCTTCCTTTAAGTTGGGTTAAGGCTTTCTGGATTTCTCTGGTTTCACATGGGGCTCATGCGATTGGGCTAAGAGAAAGAAGATGGATTGCTTGTGATGTAAGTGCACACCGCATAACTCCATGAATCTTTATAGGTTAGATCATATGTTTCTAATTTGCAAATTATAGCATGATCCATTAACCCCATAATTTTCATTATCCCAGTCTAATTATACACCTTTCTAAGCATGTATTGTCATAAGAATCTTCAATTTTTTCACCTCATTAAACCCTAAGCCCAATCCTTGTTCATTCTTCTGCAATTTTTGTTTCTTTTCCTAATTTCATAATACTTTATTGTTTAACCCCGTCACTTTTCCCCTCCTTCTAGAGTGGGTTGCCATGTTTCCCATATGATTTTCCTGATTGCAATGCATATTCCTCACTCATGGCT